AAAAAAAAAAAAAAAAAAAAAGATAGGTACTGCCATACCCAGCTCCAGATTTTTTTTTTTCCTCATGATTTCATTTTGTATCACTCATCAATGCCAATCCCAAGGTCAAGAAAATTTACCCCTGTGTTTTCTTCTAAGGTTTTTTTGTGTTTTACTCTTTTATTTTTAGACCTTTTTTGTTGAACCATTTTCAGTTAATTGCTGTATATGGTGTGGGATATGGGTAAGCTCAGCTTGATTCTCTTGCATATGGGTAGCCAGTTGTTCCAGCACCTTTTCTTGCTACCTTGTTCAGTCTTAGAAACTTTAGAAGTTGAGACAGGAGGATTGCAAATTGGAGGCCATCCTGAGAGAGCTCTGTCTCAGAATAAAAAGTGCTGGGCATGTAGCTCAGTAGTATGGTACCCCGTGGTTCAATCCCCAGTCCCCTTCCCCCCTAAAAAAAAAATCACTGAGCCCATCCCAAAGAAATGTTAATGAAGCAGCTTCCAGCAAACGTGGAGATGCTAATCCAAAAGTCCTTCCTGGAGCTGGGGATGTGGCTCAAGCGGTAGCGCGCTGGCCTGGCAGATGCGTTCCGCCCGGTTCGATCCTCAGCACCACATACAAACAAAGATGTGGTGCCCTTCCTGCCCACATTACTGCGCACCTGTCCCCCACCCTTAGGGTCTTCCCACCTACATTCTATCACTGCAGGATAACAGAACAAAAGACAGGAATGCTGGCTGGAATATGGGAAAGCTGAAAGAAGAAGACCTCAGCCTTCCATGGATTCTACTTCTTGGGTCCCCTTCTTCCTTCTGGGAGAAGTCTTCTCTACTGTCCTTTAATGAAGTTTTACTTTCCACTCTAAATAAATAAATAGATAAATAAATAAATCACTGAATGATTTTGGCACCCTTGAAAAAAATCAATTCACTGTAGATATGGGATTTTACATCTGGACTCTCAATTCTATTCCATTGACCTTTATATCTGTTAAATTGCTAGTATTATACTATTTTGATTATTGTAGCTCTGCAGTTAAATTTTGAAATTGGCAAATGTGAATCTTCAACTTTTTTCTCCTTTTTGAAAATTGTTTTCACCATTTGGGGCCTTTGCAATTCCAAATGAATTTAAGAATTAATGTTTCCAATTCTACAATAAAAAGCCATTAGAATTTTAGAGGGATAGCATTGAGTCTTTAAATTGCTTTGAGTATACTTGCTATTCTAATCATGTTTACATCATCCAGTCCACATGTGACCCCATTTACTTAGGTGTTCCTCAATTTCTTCCAGCAGTGTTTTGCAATTTTTTTTTTTGTACCAGGGATTTCACCCAGGTGCTTAACCACAGAGCCACATCTCAGACATTTTTATATTTTATTTAGGAGATAGAGTCGTGCTAAGTTGCTTAGGCTGGCTTTGAAATCACAATCCTACTGCCTCAGCCTCCCCAGCTGCTGGAATTACAGGCATGTGCCACCAAGCCTGGCTGTTTTTAATGTCTGAGCCTTTCATTTCCTGGAGTAAATTTATTCCTAGGTATTTTATTATTTTTGATGCTATTGTAAATGGAATTGCTTTGTCAATTTTCTTTCCAGGTAGTTCATTGTTGATATGTAGAAACAGTTGATTTAAAATATATATATATATATATATATATATATATATATATATATATATATATATATATATTTAGTTGTAGATGAATACAATACCTATATTTTATTTTTAATGTAGTGCTGAGGATCTAACCCAGTGCTTCATGCTAGGTAAGAGCTCTACCACTAAGCTACAACCCCCAGCCCAAATTATATATATATATATATATATATATATATATATATATATATATATATATGGTGTAGATGGACACAATACATTTGTTTTTATGTGGTGCTGAGGATCTGGGGATCCAACCCAATGCCTCACATGTGCTAAGTAAGCACTCTACCACTGAGCCACAACCCCAGCCACACTGTTGATTTTTGTGTTGATCTTGTACCTTGTAGCTTTGCCAGACTTGTTAACATTTTTGTGGAACTTTTGGCATTTTCTATATAAAGTTCGTGTTATCTATGAATAGGGATAGTTTTGTGTCTTATTTCTGTTATGCTCGAATTTGGGACCCCCCCAAAAGACCACCAGAGACCAAGATCGATGTAAGCAGCAAAGAGGTGTTTATTGCGAGCTAGCTTGGTCCTCTGTGTGCGCACAGCAACTGGTGATGCTGAGAGGCCCCGAGCCCAGGGTTTGCAGCAGTTTTATACACTCTTTGGGGAAGGCAGGGACTTCACATATATCATAACATCTCTTAGCAAATTATCACACACCACGGGAAAATCATAAAACAAGTCTAAAACATGATTAGCACATTCACTGGCGGGAACAAGTTGGGTAGGAGTGATTGGTTAGTACAAGAGGGGGATTTGTTTGAACTGATTGGTTTAAACCACGAGGGGAGTACATGCTGAACTACATGGTTTCCCAACATGTTATCAACCATCATAAACTACTGGGAGGGTCATCTGGCATCCCAGGTATTTCCCTGTCTCATGCTGATTGGTGGCTGCTAGGGGGTTGCTATGGGTCCTCACCTAGCCTGACTGAGTCAGGGACACCTGGCGCCACAGATCTCTCCAGTTATCTACAGACAAACAACTCAGCAGGGTGGATATGTGCCTAGGAGTGCTCTGTGGGTCTTTCCAAGGACAAGGGTCACGCCCCCTTCCTTGGACAGGCTTTGCTCTGAGGTAGAGGCTGGTTTTTCAATTTCCTCATCTGGATGCCTTTTATTCATTTTCTTGGCTAAATGCTTTGGCTGAACCAATCTTCGTTATTTAATTTCTACATATTTGTGAATTTTCCAGTTTTCTTTCTACTATTGATTTCTAGCTTCATTCCATTGTGGTCAGATAAGATATTTAGTATGATTTCAATATTTCAAAATTCATTGAACATATCCATGTGCTCTTGAGAAAAATATTGCTGTTGTTGAGGGGGTGTTCTATATATGTCTGTTAGGTATAGTGGGTTTATAATGCCATTCAAGTCATCTTCTTGAATTTTATTATTCTGTCTAGATGTTCTATTTATTATTGAAAGTGGGGGTGTTGAAGTGTATCAAAAAAGACCTCAAGTAGGAGCAACTGGAGATGGAGGAAAAACACAGAGACAAAGAAAACAGACATTTTCAAGTAAAGTTGGGGCCAGGTGGGGTGCTGTACTCTGAGGAACAGTGACCCAGAACTAGCTCTACAAGTTATTATATAGGGCCTCACAATCAGGAAGTTAAACTATAGGGGCACTGTAAATTGTTCAAGGCTTATAAATTATAAAGAGGCTTCTTTGTGCACTAAAACGTTACAGAGCTAGAAACATTTTTGCAGCTATCCTGCTACACCCAGGGGCTTCCAGGGTGTACTGGAAGGTTAGATAACTGTTAGCGTCAGAGCTGAGTGTGGAGGCTGTTAACATCTTTGCCTTTTGGTAAGGAGTGTTTCCCAGGCCTGGCTTTTTCTGATACCTTAAGAGCAGTGGATAACTGGGAGCTCATCCGATCTCCACATTGAAGTCTCCAACTACTTCTATTTCTCCCTTCAATTCTGTCAGATATTCATATATTTTAGGAACTCTACTATTGTTTTATCTTCTTGAGTGATTTATAATCTCTCTCTCTCTCAGAGTTTGTCCTACTTCAGGGCAAAAGAGCTGGATGATGATGATGATGATGATGATGATGATGATTTTGCACTGGGGATCGAACCCAGGGCCTTGTGCCTGCAAGGCAAGCACTCTACCAACTGGCTGTGTCCCCAGCCCAAAGTTGCTGGACTTTTGAACTCACACATCAGTCACTGAATATAGGTTCCCCTGGAAGAGGGCAGAGAATGGGTAAAGTGACTCCAGTGTCCAGCAGCAAGCATCTGAAGGCGGAACATACAGAATATGGGTTCACAGTGCTGGTAAAAGAAATTTGCGGAGAAGATGAAAAGACTTCCCATGTTTATGGATAAGTAGAATTAATATTCTTAAAATGGCCATAATACCAAAAGCAATATACAAATTCAATGTAACCCTCATCAGAATACCAATGACATTCTTCAGAGCACTTGCCTAGCACGTGTGAGGCACTGGGTTCAATTCTCAGCACTGCATATAAATAAATAAAGTCCATTGACAACCAAGAAAATATTTTAAAAAAAGAAGACAAGAAGAAAGTGTTGGGTGTTGGGGACTGTAGCTCAGTGCTGGAGCACTTGCCTAGCACAGGTGAGACTCTGGGTTCAATCCCTAGCCCCCTCCCACCAAATGTGTGTGTGTGTTTGTGTGTGTGTGTGTGTGTGTGTGTTTAAGTGCTAGGAGGCTGTCAGCTTTATTTCCCCTTTCTAGTTTTTACAATGCCTTCTAATGCTCTATATGCGGCACCCTGTCTATCAAATATGTGCTGGGTAGATAAGAGGTTCCTAAGAGTTTTTCTACCTCTGTACCAAAGGCCTCCCTGCCAATAATGGTCAGGCAACATAATGATGATCATAATAATGTTTAGCTTTATTGAGCACTTACTATATGCCAGGAAGTACTCTGAGTGCTTTATATTCATTATCTCATTTAATCTGAGAAGTTATACAGAGAGATACCATTATATTATGATTTCCATTTTATGGAGAAGAACCTAAGGTAATAAATGGGAAAGCTATAATCTAAATCTTTAGGCTATACGAGTCCAAAAACGAAGCTCTTGGCCTCACTCTCTGAAAGGTATAATTAATGGTGAAAGGGTTTGATTTCGTATATGTTAAATAAACAACAAAACCTATAAAATAAAATATCGATAATGCAAGAAAAGGCTGGGGATATAGCTCAAGGTAGAGTGCTTGCTTAGCACATGGGATGCCTTGGTTCAATCCTCAGTACTGAAAAAAAATAAAAAACATGAGAAACAATTTTATTAGAAATATCCTAACATATTTTCTGGACAAGTAATCAAAAAATAAATAAGGACATAGAAGATATGAACATATAAATTTCTTTTACTCTGAAAACAACCAGTATAACTCCTTTTCAAGTTTCATGGACAGTGACAAAATTCAAAAAATATTAAACTACATAGAATATTTCAGTTTTGAAAAGTAGAAGTCGTAGAAGCCATTCTCTGAGCAAAACGCAGCACAACCAACAATATATAAAACATGCCACTTAGAAATTTAAAAACATAAATAGTAAATTATCCTTAAGGAGTACATCAAGATTAAAAACAGACTGTTTGGAAAATAATTTGAGGTTGGAGTTGTGGTTCAGTGGTAGAGCACTTGCCTAGAATGTGTGAGGCACTGGGTTCAACTCTCAGCACCGCATATAAATAAATAAATAAAGGTCCATCAACAACTAAATGAAAATAATTTAAATAGCCAAAGTTATATGTAGAGGTAAATTAGCAGCATTAAATGCTTTTTAGTTTCAAAAAGAGAGAAAAATAAAATGAACGAATTATGCATGCAGATTGAGATTTTGTAAAATAAAGTAATAATTATTCCCTCCAAGTGAGAGAAAGGGAATATTTGACATAGAAAACAGAAAACCAAACCAAACAAAAACCCAAAAGCCTAAGAGCTGGTGGGACGTGCTTTGTGCCTGTGGATAGACAAGTACGTAGTAGTGTCTGTGTGAATTTGGTCTTCTGACATGCGGCTCTAGATTTTTCTACATTTGAATATCCTGTACCTCTATTGTGGCACTGTATATGTTGCTTGACAGTGAATTTTTCCACTTATGACTCTCTTGACAGGACAGAGACCATCTCTCCATGCTCATTGTATTCTTGGGACTTGGTGTGTGGTGTTGGACCCTTGATAAATGTTTGCTGAATAGAATCAATGGATGAGTTCAAGTATCGACTCCCACGTCTCCCATGTTGTATTTAGTCCCCAGAGTTCCTTCTGTCTCCACTGCCTAGCCACATGCCCCAAGCCAATGTCATGAGGCCTGAAATGAATTATTCTTACAATAAGGGACAAACAATGAAATATCTGCCTAGTGGAATATTATGTAACCAATAATAATTGTGTTGGCAATGTGAATAAAATATGAAGATGTGGGGCTTTGCTTTTCTTCTTATTTCCACCTATCCACTGAATAATCAAATATTTCTTTTGTAAAATGGCAAATAGTCTTCTCTACCCTCAAGGCCCAGTTCAAATGCCACTCTCTTCTGGGGACTTACCCTGATTTCTCCAATCAGAAAAAACAAAAACAAAAACAAAAAAACTTGCCTTTTCTGGGATTCCACAGCATCAGCCCCTCCCTCTGGTCTCTTAAAATTTCTGCTTTTGGTTATTTGTGTCTGCTAATGAGTCGACAGCACCCCCTAGCAGGATTGTAGCTTTCCTATGTACTACCACCTCTGATAAGAAGGTACACTGTGAAGTTCATCTGGACTTGGAAATCATCTCCCATGGTGAGGGGCTTGGGCAGGGTGGGGAGGGCACAAATGCACAGGTTTGAATGGGTGGTTGCCTGAATGACAGACCATGCTGAACTCATAGCATGCCAAAGCAAATGATCACAGAGTCCCCAGACAGACTTCAGCAACGCTCAAGGACCAGTCCATGTACGTACACTCACCTACATTGTACCTGGCTGGGAAAAGTTCCCTGAAGCAAGTTGAATGGCATTAGCCAAAATGAGGAAAGAAGAGGGTGTATGCTGTCACAATACCTGGGGCGGATAAATGCAGTGGAGACAGGTGTTTATTGTATTTGTGCCCAGATGAACAGGAGGACATTCCAGGCATAGGGACCCAACTTAGAAATCCCCAGTAGCTGGAGATAAGCATAGTTACTTTAGAGCCACAGCATTGGAGAGCCCTCCAATCATTTCACTTGGCTGTCAGAAAAATTTTTCTAAAGCCTCCCTGTCACTCACTCGTCTGCTTAGAACTCTTCAGTGGTTCCCCATAACACTTGAGAATAGGCCTGATATCCCAGGCTCATGTGTTCTGGTCTCCACAGATGTATCATCTCCTGCCATGCACCCAAACTGAACATTTCAGGAGTCCCGATCTGTCCCGTTTTGCTCCTCACTCCAATGCCTACAGTGCATTCTCAGTTGTCAAACTGAATCATGCTACTTCATTGAAATAGAAATGAAATCCAGGCTTCTAGTTTTAAAGGGTTCTCACTGGCCAAATCTGGGACAATTCTGGCACCAAAATCTTTCAGGTTAATAATTATAAGATCATTGGAAAATCATAGAAATCCAAGAGCCCCTACTAACAGTAAATATGTAAACAAGTAGGCAAAAGAATGTCAAATGTTGACTAATAAATGTGGCGTGAGTCCTTAGAGTTGAGGAGTTAGCATATTCTAACTATCATGATATTTATTCAGGAAAGGATTATCCATCAGTAGATGTTAAATCTATTTATAACCTCTGAGAATGGAGTGGGATGATCAGAAAGTATCTCCCCATGGATTGCTTATTAGTTGTAAGGGAAAAACAGTAATTCTAAATTGAGAAATCAGACAATGCCTTGACTGAGTGATCAAAATTTAAATCACCAAAGACACTGAGGACACAATATCACTTACACAGTCTTACGCCATGATTGCATTACTCATATATAATAATGAAGAAACAGAAAACAAACCAAAAGGAGAAACATTCTATTAAAATAAAGGGGAAGATTGCATTCTTCAATAGTGTCAACATCATAAATGACAAAGAAAGGCTACCTATTCTAGATTAAAAGATACTAAAGAGAAATAACAACTTAATGAAACACATCATTCCTAGACTGGATCCTGTATACTACAGGGGAAAATGCTATATAAAGGACATCATAGAAACAGTTTACAAGAGAGGTGGTTAGCTGCCGTGTTGCATCAATATTAAATTTAGTGAAGTGGGCAATTGCCTTATGGTAGGAAATATACGCTATATTTAGGGGTAAAAGAACATGATGTATGCAACATATTTTCAAATAGCTCAGAATAAAAGCCATTGTATAAGTGTTCAGGATAGAGAGCAAATGATAAAACAAATGGGGTAAATGTTAACAATAGCCTTTTGTTCTTGTCTTACAATATTCTGAAATTTTAAAATTGTTCCTCCCCCCCCCAAAAAAAGTTAAACCCAAAATTCCAAGTTCTTTACCATATCCCACCCCCCAGTATGTTCCTGTCACAGCCCCAGCTACACAGACTGAATTTCAGTTTTCCTAACATACCAAGGTCTTTCCCACCTCTAGACCTTTGTGTGCCTACTGTTTCCTTTATATAGAATTCTCTTCCTTCTATTTAGGTCTCAGGAATACAGTAATTGTCACTTATCAAAATGATCTTCTTTGTACCCCCCTCCCCCACATTTAGATTTATTGTATTCTTTCATAGCACCCTAAACTTTTCCTTCACAACACTTAACACAGTCTTATATAAGGATTTGTATTTGGGGAGGATGGTTTAATGTCAGTCTTCCCCAGTAGCTTGGAGGATCCCTGAAACTAGGGCTCCTGTTTTACTCATGAATGCATCCTCAGCATGGGCTACTGAATCTGGCACATCAGTGGGCACTCAGTAGACAGCTGATTAAATAATCAATTCTAATCTCCAATTTACCTCCAAACTCTTGGCAGCTCTCAGAGAATGTACCCTGCATTCCATCTCTAGAATTATTCAAGAGGCTTTGTCTTTGAAAGCTTCTTAGATTCCCCACCATCACATTAGAATTTGAAACAAAGAGGCCATGGTAAGGAGGGGGGAGCTTAGGAGAGGCATGTTAAGGGAGAGATGCTGAATCAGAAACCTGGACTCACAGAGGAGGAGTTATCAAGGAGGCAGTTGGTTGATCAGGCTGGTGCTTAGAAGGAGAGTCTGGTAAGGAGAGATGATCAGTAGTTGAAGCTGTTAGCACAAAGAAATCTCACCTGGGTACAAAAAGGGTCCAGGGATGGGGCAGAGACCCTGCCTTAAGGACTAAGCAGAGGAAAAACAGCAAATAAGCAGCACACACAAGAAAGAGTAATTACTGAAGGTAAAAGTGGAGGACACTTGGGCATAAAAGCCATATACACTTGAACTTCCTTCTTTCTTGTTCAAGACCAGCAATCTGGAACCTGGTGGGTTGAGGCAGCTCAGTGCAGGTGAAAGGCTTGGACTCTGAATCCTGACTCTACAGCATAGAGCTGTGTGTCCTCAGGCACTGGATTTAACCTTCCCAGATTCCAAGTTCTCATCTGCAAAATGAGAGTAGTGCTAGTATTTATTTTATGGGGCTGCTGTCAGGATTACCTGAGGTCGTCTTTGGAAGGCTCTTTAAACCACATTTGGTCTAAAGTCTAGGAAACAAATGACATTGCATGTGCTTGCACAGCAGGAGAGGATGTACTCGTCCCAACTATGGGGACCATGTCCTAAATTCAGCCTTTCCTCAACAAGAGTTTCTGACAGGAGTCAAGACAGCCCTCCTTACCATCTTTTGTTACATGTCCCCTTCCTCTGATTTGATCTCTATTAAAAAAAAAAATCCTATGATGGGGAGATTCCTTTTAACACCACTCTTTCCTCCATAGCCTCCTTTTGAAGTCATCAAAGTGGGACTTTGCCCACTTGATTGCAATTAACCCTCACCTAAGAGCACTTTGTACCCTGTTTTTCAGGTGATGACACCTCCTCAACACAGCTACCTTCTGTGAATGTAAGCAAGGATTCTCAGGCCCCCTACTTGGGGGTGCCACTAATGTCTGCCCAAAGCTTCTGACCATCCCATCTCTGAAGGAAAGAGGGATGTGTGGATACCATTTCACAGTTTAGAAAGCACTTCCCCAGCATACTCCCCAATTCATCCTCACAACTGCCCTGTGAGGTAGATACAGCAGATAATAATAACTATACTGGTCCACATTTACCAAGCATTTACAATGTACCATGCTCTATGTTAAACATTTTCATGTGTGATCTCATTTAAACTCAACAACATCCTATGAAATAGATTCAATCAGTGTCCCCATTTTACAGAAGAGAAAAATGAAGTGGTTAGAACTTGTCCCAAATCAAAGAGGTAGTAGTAAGTAATGGAGCTAGGATTTGAACCTCAGACTGTCTGACTCCAAAGCCACACTCTTAACCCTCCCTATAATACGGCCTCGCAAAGCAAGCATATTCTTTCCCACGTTATTCTGCTAAATTGAAACTCAGAGAGGTAAAGTGATTTTCCTAGTCTCACAACCAGAAAGTGGCAGAGCTAGGATCCACATTTGGATCCTTTGGCTCTAAGGCCTCTGACACCAGGAAGCTCTACTGGCTGAACTTGATTGACAAAGAACTAGGTCTTGCCTTGCCAGTGCTGCTCAGCCCAGGGCAGTGTCTTTGCAGAAATTCCTTTCTGGTATTAACTGAGAAATTTTTGTGTTTTTCTGAATCTCAAAAACAATTGGTGGGGCTGGGGTTGTAGCTCAGTGGAAGAGCGCTTGCCTAGCATGTGTGAGGCACTGAGTTTGATTCTCATCACCACATAAAAATAAATAAAGGTCCATTGACAACTAAAAAATATTTTTTAAAAAATTGGTGAAGAGGGGCTGGGATTGTGGCTCAGTGGTAGAGCGCTCGCCTAGCAAGTGTGAGGCCTTGGGTTCGATCCTCAGCACCACATACAAATAAATCAATAAAATAAAGGAATTGTGTTCAACTACAACTAAAAAATAAATTTTTAAAAAATTGGTGAAGAAATTGGCAAAATGGAGAAAAGCACTATAATTCTCCTGTGAGAATGAATGCTTAACAATACAGAGGAATTCAAAAGCAAGAAAAGAAGTGTTGACACAGGGAATTTGAAGTTAAAGTAGACATTTCTGAAACTTGGGATAAGGAGCACATAGAAAAAAAGTTGTCACAATCTAATTCATTCTTTTGTAGCTGTTAACATATTAAAAGTGTATTTATGCCAGGTGCAGTGGCACATGCCTGTAATATGAGGCAGAAGGATGGTAAGTTTGAGTTCAGCCTGGGAAACTTGTTGAGACTCTGTCTCAAAATAAAAATTGAGAAAAGGGCTGGGGATGTAGCTCAGTGGTAGAGCATGCCAGAATCAGGGGAAAAAAACTGTATCTGTGGGTCTATGATTAACAGTGAGTCACACTAACAAATAAGATAACATGTTTACATGCATAATATATTTTATACAAAATCTATGAATGATGGCCCAAGAAATAAAATGTTTTGGAAATAAGCCTTATATTGGCAATTTCAACTCATGACTGTGAAGTTCTGTCAATCTTTAACTACTTATTTAAACACTTTGTTATTTAAATATTATCCAATAGTGTTTGTTGGCATTTCCAGTTTTTGGCCACCTGCTATGGCCTACAGTTCTTTTCTTTTCTTTTTTGGTACTAGGGATTGAACTCAAGGGTGCTTAACCACTGAGCCACATCCCCATCCATTTTTTATATTTTATTTAGGGATAGGGCCTCGCTAAGTTGCTGAGGCTGGCTTGGAACTTGCAATCCTCTTGCCTCAGCCTCCTGAGCCACTCAGATTACAGGGGTGTGCCACCACCCCAGCCTGGCCTACAGTTCTTTTTAACTGCTACTAAATGTGTTTTTACTTGTTTTAAAAAGTACAGAAAGTTAATGAAAAATACAAAATAACAGATTTCAGGAATTCCTAAGAATTCCGGTTTTTCATTTCTAAATTCGGAAGATTAATATCTTTGGGAATTTGGAAATCTTAATTAACAAAACTTTGTTATTTGAGCTTCCCAAGCAACACAGTGGGATAGCAGATGGTGCCCAGAGGCCCTCTTCCTTCATTTACAGGAAGCACCCACACAGGAGCTCGTCCTGACTGGGGCTTCCTTCACCAACATCACTCTAGAGAGGTCTGAAAAGAGGTCACTCTAGAGAACTATGGGTTGAGCTTGAAGCACTGGTCTTAAGCACCAAAATTCTATGTCATCTCAAATTTCATATCAATCATTGGAACAAACGTTCACTTTCCTCCCAGGGAGCTTGAACACTTTAGTATGAAAAGTGTTCCGTATAACTTATCACTGAGAAAAATGGATGCTCCATAAAATGGATGCCTTGTCAAACTCACAGCCTTAATTCCACCGTGTCCAGCACAAGAAGTGGCATATTAGCACCGACTGTGGAGTCAGACAGGCAGACCTGGGTCCGAATGCTGGTTCTGCAACATACTGGATGTGTGACTTTGGGCAAGTCCCTTAACTTCTTGGAGACTTAGTTTCCCTGTCTGTAAAATGCTAATAATATCAATGACACAAGGATGTTGTGAGGATTAAATGAGATAATTCCCATAAATCACATCGCCTGGCACAGAGTAAGCTCTGGATAAATGGGAGATGCTATTGTTTCCTAGTGTGATAGGTCCTAGTATGATAGGCCCAATAATAAAGTCAGGAAGCAAGAGGTTGGGGAAAGCCCTTGGACCACTCATTTGCCATGGGTTTCTCCAGGTGGGATTTTCCAGGTAGGGTGGGTTGGCTCAGGGCTGTCCCAGAAGTCTCCATCAGTCCCTCCATATGGGTCCTGCAGCAGGAAGCGGGGTGCCTGGGCTGGAAGGCCTCTGGACCATGTGGGTTCCTAGGTTGGCTGGCAAGATTGGCACCCTGGTGTAAGTTCCAGCAGCTCAGAGGCCAGGCACCCATAGACTCTCAGGGCTGCAGGCGCGGTATCGCAGACCCCGTGCATGGGTGGCTGTCGTAGACCTTTGTCAGCAGCACATGGTGGGGCAGGCAGCTCAAGGCCGGTCTTTGGTGCCTCCAGCACCCCTCTTGGTGGTGAAGCCCCTCGCCAGTGTGGTCCCTGTGGCACTGCACGGTCGGACTCGGCCTCTGGGAGTCAAGGCTGCGGCCATGTTGCAAGCACACTCGGGCCATTTGGACAAGGGCCGCGCTGGTGTGAGGAGGCTGGCAAGGCCGCCTGGTGTCCAACTTCCTGTGTGCTGGAGGCACTGCTGGGCCTCTCGGGGAGGCGTCCTCAGGCGCTTGGTGTGGTCCGAGTTCTGCCCTAATCTCTTCCCACACATTGAGGCTCAGGTGGGGAGCAGGATGGATTCTGTGACCTTAGGTTCTGGGCAAAGGTAGACACACTTGCCCTTGATGTTCCTGCAGTGGGTGTTGAGCTAGGAAGCTCTTTCTGCCCTCAGGGCACGCGTAGGTGGCTGGATCTTGGGGTGGCCAAGGGACTCCTAAGGGCCTCACCTTGCCTGGCGAGCAGGCTCACCTCCCCTTCCCTTGGGGGATCGTCCTGGGTGCCCTAGGGGCCTTGCTTCCTCCCCCAGGAGCTCTGGTATCTGGCCCAGTGGAACTAGGCCGGGCATTTGTCCGGAGGCCCCTCCTAGGCAGGAGCCTTCTGAGGGGCTCTGTCTTCAGGCCTTTCTCGTGGAGGGCTCTCCTTGTCATTCTGACTCCTGAATCCTGCAGAGAGAGAAGAAAATCTGGGTAGTATTTCCTCTTCTCCTCCCCGGACCCAATGCTAGCAATACCCTGCCTTGGGAGTCCTAAATGAGATGACTTGGTGGATGTCTGTTAGCAATGACTAAGTTCTGTATTTCTGACAGTAGATTAAGAGATTGATGGCAGAACCTTGTGGGAAACTGTAAGGGCTCACTTTCTGAAAATAGTGCTGGGTTTGAATTCCAACCACAACACTTTCTTGCAGTGTAATCCTGGTCTAACTACATAATTTTGTGCAGTCTCTGTTCAGTTGTTAGATGTTCAATGATAACAGCAACCTCAAAGGATTCTGTCAGTGTGGTTGGTGAATCCATGGACCATCAGGAAGGCAATGCCCAGCAGTGATAGGTTAAATTGGAAAGATGAATACAAATTTTACCTTAAGGAAAATTTTTTCTAACTCTGTCACCATTTGAGGTTCTATACTTTACCCTCTACCAACAATGTCTAATAGATTTACCCCTTAAATAATCAGAGGTCCTTGGAGGGTAATTGATTTAATTCCTTGAGACAAGGAATAAGGATGGGTCTAGAGCATCCTTTTGATACCAGAAAGCAAGGATATTTTCAAGGACAATAGGGGTAGTGATATGAAAACAAATGATAATTAAATGGACTGTCACTGTCCAAGCTGTTACAATTTGGGTACCCTAAAATATTTATTCATTAATATGCTTAAGTAAAATATCTGGGAAAAGCTGTGAATCTATAAGTCATTCAAAAGTAGAAAGCTATGAGAAACTTTCAAAACGTAGTTGTACTAGGAAAAGTGATAACATGTATCATTTTGATAATAGTTATAAGTAGAAGAGTGTTAATAAATGGATATTTTGTTTCTATATTTCCTCTATAAGGAATAAATATCAACTAGTATCTTTCTGTGCAAGGAGGAAAGAATAGAACCAGAAAACTGAGTCTGGTAACATCAAGAAAATAAAACCCTTGGGCTGGGGATGTGGCTCAAGCGGTAGAACGCTCGCCTGGCATGTGTGCGGCCCAGGTTCGATCCTCAGCACCACATACAAAGATCACTAAAAGCAGCCTGAATCAAAATGAGTGGGAAAACATCCCAATAAACACATTAAAAAAAAAAAAAAAAACTTAACCATGACTAGATAGCACCAAGGAACACATAAAGTCACCAGATGGAAGGAGACTCATGTGTCCTAATGAGAACCAACATAGATAATAAAATAGCCCTGAGAAGCTTAAAAAAATTTTTTGAGCTCTAGGTTCCATCACAAAAAGATTCCCAGATTCTAAAAAAAAATTATATATATATATATAGTCTGGGGATGTAGCTCAGTGATAGAGTGCCTCTGGATAGAAACATAAAATGTGGTATTAACCTGAGTATTAAAAGGAAAAGAAAGAAAGAAAAGAAAAGAAAAAATTAAAGGTGCCCCATAAGGTAGTGCACACCATCAAAAACAGCAAAGGACCTGAATAGACATTTGTCCCAAGAAGATAAACAATGGCCAACGACCACATGAAAAGATATTCGACATATTACTCATTTGGGAAATGAAAATCAAAACCACAATGATACTCCTGATGCCCATCAGGATAAAAGTGTTGGAGAGGATATGGAAAAATTTAAACCCTTATGCACTGTGAATAGAAATATGAAATGGAGCATACATTATGGAAAATAGTACGGCAGATTCTCAGAAAGATCCAGCAATACCAGCTGATATATATATATATATATATATATATATATATATATCATATATATAAATATACATATATTTATAAATTGAAAGTAAAGTCTCAGAGACATACTTAAACACCCATATTCACAGCAGCATTATTTACAATAATCAAGGGATGAAACTAACCCAGATGACTACTGACAGATAAATGGATAAATAAAATGTGGTATTTAGATACCATGGAATATTAGTCAGTCTTGAAAAGGAAGAAAGTTCTGACCCATGCTACAACATGAATGAAACTAGAGGATATTATATCAAGTAATATAATCAAGTACAAAAGGACAAAGACTGTGTTGACTCCACTTGTATAAGATACCTAGAATAGTCCAATTCATAGAGACAGAAAGTGAAAAGGGGGTTGCCAGGGCCTGCGGGGAGGGGAGAATGGGGGGTATTATTTACAGTGTACAATTTCAGTTTGGCCAGATGAGAAGAGTTCTAGAGATGGATGGTGCTGGTGATGCACATCAACATGAATCTACTTAATACTACTGACTATACACTGAAAAAAATGGTTAAAGTGATAATTTATGTTATATATGTTTTACCACAACTTTAAAAAGATCCCCAAATTCTAATGTGCAGCCAGGCTTGAGTTTCTGTCTGGGGATATGGCAGAAAATATGTGTGAAACCTCAGTGACCCTACCAATTATAAATAATATTGGAATACATAGGTTTTAATCATGCCAAAAATCAGGCATGATTATGATAGGACATGGCTCAGATTATGTAAAACTTGAATATATCAACCCTGGGGAATACACCAAAGTTCAGAAATAATATATATATAAAATCAGTCAAATATGTGACTCTTACTGGATTCTAATTCAAACAAACTGAAAAAAATTAGTAAATATTTATGGGACAATTTGAAAATTTGAGGCTGGGCATGGTATGACACACCTGTAATCCCAGCAACTGGGGAGGCTGAGGCAGGAGGATTATAAATTTGAAGCCGGTCTCAGCAATTTAGTGAGATCATCACAAAACAAAAAAATAAAAAGGGCTGGGGATGTGGCAAAGTGGTTAAGCTCACCTGGTTCAATCCACAGTACCCCAATCTTGTTTTTTTTTGAATAATTAGGATATTTGGAAAAAACAATGAAATATATATATATATATATATATATATATATATATATATATATATATATATATTTGTACTGGGGTGTTGAACCCAGGGGTGCTTACCACTGAGTCATATCCCTAGTCCTTTTTTTTTTTTTGAAACAGGGTCTTGCTAAGTTGCTTAGGGCCTTAATAAATTGATGAGGCTGAGATTATAGCCATGTGCCACATAATGTCCAGCTTCCACGGCATATTTTATTATAATATTTATTATACATTTTTAGTTGTGATAATGGTGATTTAAAATCCTTATCCTTAACCAGGCATAGTGATGCACACCTATTATTCCAGTGACTTGGAGCATCACAGGTTTGAAGCCAGCCTCGGCAACTTAGTGATGCCCTAAGTAACCTAGTGAGACCCTATCTCAAATTTAAAATAAATAAATAAATAGGGCTGGGAATGTAGTTCAGTGGTAAAGTACCCCTGGGTTCACTCCCCAGTACTCAAAAACAAAACAACAACAACACCTTCTCATTAGAGAACAAAGAATTTTAAATTCTATAATATCTGAGATTTGCTTCAAAATAATAAAGGGACAGAGTCAGTGAGCCTGAGTTGATGATTGGTAAAGTTGACTGGTAGTTTCATATACTATGAAATTTATTTTGTATATGTTTGAAATTTCCATAACAAAACTTTTTTTTTTTTTTTCAGTACTGAGGATTAAACCCAGGGGCACTCTACCACTGAACTACATCCCCAGCCCTTTTGGATTTTTATTTTGAATCAGGGTCTCACTAGGGTGCCCAGGCTGCCATTGAACTTGTGATCCTCCTGCCTCAGCCTCCTGAGTTGCTGGGACTACAGGGATACACCATGCCTAGCCTAATTTTTTTTTTTTAAAGCATACAAAAGGAAGACAAACTGATAAGGAAAGTTAAAAGCGCCACGTGGTAACAAGAAAAATTTCACGATAAAAAGGTGCTAGTGCTAACTATGAGCAGCTTGGATTTGAACCTGAGACCCACTCAAACTAACAATAGGTCTCTGCTCAGAACCTGCAATCTCAGCTTATTCTGGGATAATTTCCTTATTCTTTTTTTTTTTTAAAGAGAGAGTGAGAGAGAGAGAGAATTTTTTAATATTTATTTTTTAGTTTTCAGTGGACACAACATCTTTTTTGTTTTGTATGTGGTGCTGAGGATCGAACCCGGGCCGCACGCATGCCAGGCGAGCGCGCCTCCACTTGAGTCACAACCCCAGCCCCAATTTCCTTATTCTTTTAGGTCTAGTAGGATCACAAAAACTCTAGGAAGATACACAAATAATAACTGGTAGAATTACTGAAATCCTAGAGAGGCTCCAGGAAGGTGTTGGAAGAATAAGCCAAAATTAAACCCAGTTTTTAGAAATTTTATAACCACTTTTGATGGCAGGTTTTAAAAAATTCTGTGTGTGTGTGTGTGTGTATATCTGTCTGTCTGGTGCTGGGAATTGAACCCAAGGCTTCACATTTGCTAGGCAGATGCTCTACCACTGAGCTATAGCCCCAGCCCAAGAATTTTTTTTAAAAAAATATTTATTTATTTATTGGGGCTGGGGATATGGCTCAAGTGGTAGGGTGCTTGCCTGGCATGTGTGCGGCCCGGGTTCGATCCTCAGCACCACTTACAAATAAACATGTTGTGTCCACCGAAAACTAAAAAATAAATATTAAAAAATTCTTACTCTCTCTCAATTCTTTCTCTCTCACTCTCTCTTAAAATATATATATATATATATATATATATATATATATATATATATATGTGTGTGTGTGTGTGTGTGTATTTATTTATTTTTTAGTTTTCGGCAGACACAACATCTTTGTTTGTATGTGGTGCTGAGGATCGAACCCGGGCCGCATGCATGCCAGGCGAGTGCGCTACCGCTTGAGCCACATCCCCAGCCCCAACAAGAAATTCTTTTTCTTTTTTTTTTAAGTTTTTTGGCTGTAGTTGGACATAATACCTTTATTTTACTTATTTTGTACAGTGCTGAGAATCGAACCCAGTGCCTTCCATGTGCTAGGCAAGCACTCTGCCGCTGAGCCACAACCCCAACAGCCCAAGAAATTCTATAAGCATTGCATTTGTGTATGCTTAAAGCAAATGAAGTAGCTAAAAGAAGT